TTTTAATTTTTTTTTCTTTTTCCTCATCTTTCATACGTGAGAGTCAAACAAAAAGCAAAAACAAAATGTTACAACCTTCATCCCCGTGCATATTACTCTATCGAAAACGACCGTTGTATTTTTCACCTTTTACATGATCAACACGTACTATTTTGATATATTATTTTGTAACGCTTTATAATCCAAGCGTCAAAGGTACATTAGCTTCTTGAATCCAGTTAATCGGACCTAACCAGTTAGCCACAGTGAAGTCATTGACCTCAGATGCAGACCTAGCAACCTTAGCCCAGTTAACTCTCCTGTTTGTGATAGCTCCTGGTCCACGGTTGTTGTACTCAATGTACCTACATGTCTTGTGGAAACTCTCACCCTGCCACAACATCCAACCTTCTGGTCTGATCAAATCTCCCATCTCGGTGTTGATGATCACGGTGGTTGAGAATTTCTTCCATGGTCTTCCCAAGTATGACTCAACGGTTAATCTCTCAGCCGCTAGTTTCTTGTCGGGGACGATACGGCAGTTTTGGAGGACGATACCGATCTTCATGGCTAGACCCTTCTCGTTACCGTCGGCTGTGATGGTGTTGAACTGACCCTTGTTTCCTTTACGGACAACAATGAGTGAGTTTTGGATAACGGTCGCGGATTTACCGAAGATGAAATCGACGGTTCCTGAGACGACACAGTTTCTGTAGAATTGACGACCGTTGTTGACGTATAGTGTGTCTTGGTAACCGTCGAATCTACAGTTGAAGATCACGGCTCTGTCTCCGTTCACTCTGATTGCCACGGCTTGGTGTCCCATTGGACCAGCTGTGTTCTTGAATCCGATCCATTTCGCCATGAATCCTTCAGATTCAACCTCTATATAAAAACATAACGTGTGTAACAAGTAATGGTGATTAGTGAATTAGGGTTTTTGTAATGGTAATTAGTAAATTAGGGTTTGGTGAGGACGACTTACGGACTGTGCCACTAAGGGAAGTGGTGGTTCCTTGGCTGAGTGCAACACTTCTGTTGTAACTAATGACGGTCTTTCTTGCACCATCTCCGAACAAGAAGATGTTGTTCTTCTTCTTAGGGATAATAACTTGCTCTCTGTAGATACCAGCCTTGATGTGGATGATGCATCGTCCAGGGTTTTTGTCGGGACAAGCATTAACGGCTTGTTGGACCGACTTAAACTGTCCGCTTCCGTCTTGAGCCACCACAAAGGTTGCTCTGATTCTAGCACCACCGCCTCCTCCACGGCCACGTCCAGCCCGAGCCATGAGCTTCCTGTCAGCACCAGAAACCCATGTTGGGACTCCGGTCTCGTCAATGTCTTCGAGAAGACGACGAGAAGGACCATCTGGGTCGGCCACGGGAGTATCAACGGCAGGAGTAGTACCTTTCTCAACCGGAGCTGCTCCTTTGTCGGGAGAACCAAAGATACCGCCGGTCATGTTCTTGAAGTCATCGACCTTCATGTTAAGCTTGGCCATCGCGCTAACGACGTAGTGGAAGATGTCAATAGCATTGCTAGTGAGCATCTTGGAGTTTGCAATGCCATTAGCGATGGTCTTTCTTAAATCATCTTCTTGAATATCGTCAAGACAATCGGTTTGGTAATTGTAGACACCGGTTAACCATTGTTTAAGCTGGTCGAGCTTGCTTCCGACCTGGTTAAGATCTTCACCCATTTCCTCAACAATGGTACTAAGATCAGTAAGCGCGTACAAGAATACTCTCTTGCAGTACTCAAGAACGGCTTTGTTGTTTGGTGAGATGCCTGCACCCAAGTTTCCTTCGGCTTGGCCAGTGAAGTCTGTTGATTTGTTTACTGCGTCTTGTACAGCCAAAATGAAGGCCTTGATCAGCTTGTTCGGGTCATCACTCTTGACCGGCTCGAGAGTCTTGAGACATGAGGCTTTGTCGGTAGTCGACTGGCAAATTCCTTGGACCGCTTTCATTTGCGGTGAGAGCTTAGTGTCGCTATTTCTGTTAACGACGGCGACGATTCCTATGGCTACTCCCACAATTAAGAGAATGGAGGCAACCGATACAACAACCTTTCCAATCA